GGCGGGGCCCGCGGCTGGGGGCGGAGGGAGGCTGGAGGACGGCCTCGTCCTCTCCCCAGTTCGAGCCCCCCGGGAACCGAAGCAAATTCCTCTGCGACCGAGCTGATTTGGTGAGGGGAGTTGGGTTGGCCTCGGCTCCCTCAGCGTATCCTTACTGGTCGTCGCCCCCCTCCCCCCGGTTAGGATACTCTTTAGAAGTCTTCATTGGCGGCTATGGCTACAGAAGCTGATTCTCACGTAGAGGTCCTTCTGTGAGCCTCACAAATGGATAATTAGTTTTGAACCGTTCGTTGAGAGGTTCAGAGATTGCAAAATTCAGGGGTTGGCGGTACGGCTGTCCCTAATGGCCACATATGGCACTGAACCTCAACATAGGTCCTGTTGCTGGGACGAGAAACTGCAAAACAGGTCAAATGTGAATGCTGACTTCATACTGACCATGGTTTAGCTTCTTTCTAGTCGTGTGGTCTGAGCAGTACCTTGGAATGGAACTGCTTTGAGGAAAATTAAAGCATCTCTCAGTGGCTGGTATCAGAACTGTTGTTTCTCTTGCTTCTTGTTAGCAGCTAGGAAGAGGCCATCTGCTCTCCACTACCTTACTGATAAGTGACCAGCTGGCTGGCATGGAAAACTGGAATAAGTACCTGCACCTCCAAAGCAGCCTTTAGATATTGGTATGTTCCTAACACTTCCTTGCTGAATATTGTTATAGGCTATTGACATGTCATAAGACTTGTTGGATCTTAAACTGCCTGCACAGAGACCAGTGGTTGCTGAAAAGGTAAGACAGATTCTGTGGCTTAGGTATTGTAACATTTTATTGATCAGGAAATGAATGCTTTCAGTCATGAATGCTAGTAGCGTACAAATGCACGTGGCTCCACAAGAATCGGTGTAGACAAAATGCATTTTTTTCTGTAGTGGAAGATTATTCCTTAGATGGTTGCATGTCCTACTCACCATTATACAGTGTGTACGGTGTCTGATGCATACGTGATTGCCTGTGTCAGAGAGACCCCTCTCTTGACCAAAAGTTCAGTGCCAAATCAGTTGGAAGCCAGGTTTCTTGCAGCAAGATCTTATTGAACTAGTTATGAAACTTAAGTTACCACCTCTACGTTTTGACAGCCAACCAGCCGCATTCCAACTAATTAGGGTAGCCTTGTTCTGGTGGGCCTCATGTCAGTCGTCTATATGGTTCTGAGGAGAACCCTGCATGTAGGAGATACAAGAGGAGGATTCTGGCTCTCCTCTCTGGTATAGGCTACTTTGTTTGAGATACACTAGCCTGCTTCCATCTTTGTAATGCAGATCTTGAGACTGAAGTTTCCCTCTCTTGAAAGTTCTAAATTTCAAGATTTAATAAAGGCAGAAAGATCCACTTTAAAAAGAAAAATAGAGAAAATTTGAGGGGGCTGTGAACATTGTGACGTCTGTTTCCATTAATATCCTGGTCTCCACAGAAGACATTTTTGAAAGTAACTGTGCCAGGTGACTCATGGAGTTATGTTTTGCTGAGGAGAAGATCCCAAGGAGTAAAGTCTGCTGATAGTGATGTAGCTATCTTCTCATTGCTTGGCCTGAATCCTACAAGTAATGTTTGGTATTGCTGTTCAATCCAAGTGAGCTTCAAAAGTTAGAGCAGGGAAGATACAGGGAAGACAGTTGGAATGGACTTTTCCCATCATTGATGGGAAAGTTCAACGGATGACATGTTTATTCTTAGATGTGTCTAGATACAGTCAAGGAAGATGATGATAGGACTGGAACAAGTGAAAAAGGCAAGAAGACCCATTAATAAAAATAATCCAGGGAACAAAAGTAAGACCTCCCAATTCAGATCAAGAGGAAGAAAAGGCAGGGATCTCTCTCTCTCTCTCCTACAATCTTATCTTCATTTGTCCCATTAGGCCACATTGTTTCCACAGAGTTACGAAGTTGCCATACACAGTTATCCCAAAATTTGCCAGCCCTTCTGAGATATCTCATACTTGTATAACTTCAGCAGTAGTACCTCAAGAGATAGGTTTGTTTTCCTCCCTTCTTTAGTGAATGTTATTCCTCAGAAACAGAAGGGGCAGTGAGCTGAATGGTTAGAGATGAGGGGTTCTGCAGGTAATCCTCTCCTAAGGCATAAGGTGTTTAAAATACTAGCTGACTTAAGCTTTTGTTTCTGCACTGTTTGAATCAGAATCCAATTATTACCGTCTAACTGCATTTAAAACAATATGACTCTGCCTGTTAATCACCACAATAAAGTCTTTATTATTAAAATAATATGAGATTGCTCTTGACTTCAGTAGGTGGAATCTTTGGGGAAATGGGAGCAAGTGAAGATATGTGGTGCCTGATGTCATCGCACAAGTGATGTGACATATTAGGCATCATGACATAGTTATGTACATTTGTGTGATAACATTGTGGCGTGTTATCATTTTGACATCATTGTGGCTTGTTATGGACATTGGTGTTCAGGAGGGAGATCTATTGTCCTGGAGATTGGCAAAATGATGACTGAACCAACTGGGTGCCTTTCAGATGTGTTGGACTTCACATTCATTGGGATTCCTGGATGTTGCATAGTTAATCCATCTGGTGTAGATTGAGGAAGGCTGCTCAAAAGCATTACAAATGTAATTTTAAACTAAGGCTGTTTATGCAACCATTAGGGCTGTGCAATGCTTTGGATGCCAAGGAGAAAAAGGGCACTCACATACTGATCAGAAGCTCCTTAAGGTAGCTGACTCCTTTCCCAGGATTGCATAACTGGGAAAAGATGCATTTTTAACTCTAGTGTTATCACCTGGGAGTTATTAACTGAATGAAACAGATTTACAGTAAAAAAGAGCCCCCAAGAATAATTCTTGAGGCAGATCATGATTTGAGGGTCTGAATAAGCTTATAGTTTTTATTATTATTTTAATATATATATATGTGTGTGTGTGTCCTAGACCAGCATAGAACTAATAACATAACAATCACTCTAAAATAGAAATAAAAATTTAAAAAATCATATTGATAGCATAAAATAAGGTAAAGAAAATTATTAACATAAAATTACAAAGTACAGGAATTAAAACCTGAGAAAAACCTATAAAATTACAATCAATTTTGCAATGAATAATCTAAATGCTATAGATAACTAAAATAGATAGCTATAAAAGGATACAGGTAATACTAGGATTTGTAAAACATTACAAAAATGTAAAGCAATGCTAACTTATATTAAGTCTAATATTTGCTGCTAGGGTTTGTTGGGATTAAGACTATGATCCAACCAACTATATCTAAGAAATAGCAAAGTAAAACATAGAATGATATGTGAGTATTTAAAAGGAAAAGAGAAAGAAAAAAGGGGGGAAGAAAAAAAAAGAGAATATATTGAGTTATGGAAGCCTAGGTAAGGCTTAGCATCACCTCTTGAAGGAGTTGTTTATGTTTAATCATAGCTCTGTCATAGAACCGGGCTACATTGTCCAAAATCCCTGCCTCTTGGTCAGCTAACAGGAAACTAAGGTAATCAGCCTCCGGTCTGCCTGAATACAGATAGTCCTCAACTTACAACCATACATTTAGCGACTGTTCAAAGTTTACAAAGGCACTGAAAAAAGTGACTTAGAACTGGTCCTTGCACTTACGACTCTTGCAGTGTCCCTGTGGTCACATGATCAAAATTTGGGCACTTGATAACCAACATGTATTTACAATAATTGCAGCATTCCATGGTCATGTGATTGCCATTTGCAACCTTCCCAGCCAGCTTTCGACAAGCAAAATCAATGAGGAACTGTGTGATTCACTTAATGACTGCATGATTCGCTTAACCATGGTGATTCACTTAACAATTGCTGCAAAAATGTTGTAAAGTTGGGTGCGGTCACATGATGCCTTGCTTAACAACCACACTGCTTAACAACAAATTTTCCAGTCCCTATTGTGGTCGTAAGTTGAGGACTACCTGCATTGTATTATACATGGGGAAGTATACATATCTCAGAGATTTCTGTAGAAAAGGCAACACAGCAACACATGACCCACAGTTTCAATTTTTCCCTCACCACAAGGACAGCCGCAGCTCCTTTGGTATGTTGTAGAACCTTCCCTCCAAAAGGGCAGGGAAGAGGACATTATAGCAAGCAACTATAAAAGCTCTTCTGGCATTTTTGGGGATGATACTTAGAGATCATCTTTTGGGTAATGATATTGTAGAGATAATATTGTGGGAGCAATACTTTTTTGTGGGTTCATTGAATTAGTATATGGTGAAGCCTGGCTAAGATCATTTTGCAGGGCCATATCTCTGGCACGTTGTTTGAAAGATGCTTTGGCCTGATCAAATCCCACTGGAATCAGTACATCGGGAGAATCCACAATGGCTTAGGGTGGCACCAAGTAATTTTCACCAAGAAGTCTGGAATTTGTCTTGAAGAGTCAAAGAAGCCAGACAACCTGGGCTGAAAATTAATTTGTCCTAGTAACTAATATGCTATTTGTTTTAATTGGAACCATTCCAGCTTCAGCCTGAAGGGTTGAGTCTCTAATTATCTTTAGACAAGCTGTATAATGTCTGTATATATAAGAAGTCTGGAATTTGTCTTGAAGAGTCAAAGAAGCCAGACAACCTGGGCTGAAAATTAATTTGTCCTAGTAACTAATATGCTATTTGTTTTAATTGGAACCATTCCAGCTTCAGCCTGAAGGGTTGAGTCTCTAATTATCTTTAGACAAGCTGTATAATGTCTGTATATATTTTTACTGAAACAGAAGATGCTGGATGTCGGGAAATGGCCAGTATTTGCTCTCCGCTCTCAAGAGGAGCTGAAGTTAATTCGTCAGATTTGTGTATTTGGCAGCGCTGGCAATGAAGTTCTTTATGCGACGGAAAATGATGAGGTAACTTTTGAAGATGTAACAGTGAATAGTTGTTTCTCTTGGTGTCATTTTTAACTGCAGGTGTTTCATGATTCCATGCAAATGTGAAGCTTGACATTCTGAGAATCTTTGCATATACATTTGTTTTAAGATTTAGAGGGTATGAGGTTTCTCTGCCTTGCATGGTAAGTGGCTTTTCCCCAGGACTAAAAAAAACCCAGAATAAATGTACAATAGTGTACATCTGTTAAATATGCTACATTTGCATTATGTTCATTATAAATTTTAGCTTTTCTTGATGTACAGTTTTGGATTCCTTTAGGGCTGAATACATAGAAATGACAGAAATGTAACTAAAATATTTACAGTACATATCCTCAAACATGTAAACTCAAAATTCACTATAAATGTGTTTTGGGTGTTTTTAAATATTTTCAATTATATATACTTATGTAATACAAGTATTTTGATACTGACAGTATCATTGTGTAATAGGTTTTTGCATTAGGCACTAACTGCAGTGGCTGTTTGGGAACTGGTGACGTACAGAGCAGCATCGAACCTCGAAGATTAGATATTTTATGTGGCAAAAAATTAGCTTGTCTCAGCTATGGAAGTGGCCCTCATGTTGTTCTGGCTACTACTGGTATGTTACGTGGTTCTACCTATGGTTATTCTTATTAGTCTATTCCTTGGCAAGGCTATTCTTTTTTCTTTTAAATATAAGAATATTGTCAAGAAAGGAAAGCTAAGAAATTCTGGGGAGATGCTTGAATTACTTACTTTTATGTAACTGGTGCAGTAGATGGAATTGGGTTTTTTTACAGTTGGGTAATTGTTTTGGAGCTTAGTTGTTAGAATACTACATGGAAGTGATGTAATAACATTTAGCAATTTGCTTTTGAATGTCACATGGCTAAGGAGTATTCAGATTTTGCAATAAAACAGAACTTGGATATAGAGGCACTTAACTGCTTAATCTTGTCCAGGAGGCTACATGTAGACAGGTAAGCTTTCTGACTTTCAGGTTATATACATTCTATAGTTATCCATATTCTTCATTAAATGTTATAAAGCATACTGAGAAAATGGATGTGTTTCCACCTCAAAACACCTTAACAAGAAAGCAATTCATGCAAGACCATACAATCTGGATAACTTCCACAGAGTTTCAAATATTATTTCTGTGTGTATTGGATAGAGTTTTGGCATATGGGAAAGGCGGTTCATTTTTCTGCCTTCAGTTAAATGGGTCATTTTTAAGGACCCTCTGTTGTAGTAAAAGTATCCCTTCCTGTTTAATCATTTAATGTAGGAGAATTTTCCAAGGGGTATTGAACTAGAGATCAGGATACATTACATTGAACCACATATTGGTTTATTGACAGCACTGGAGGCCAAGACAGGCCTAAAGAAGAAAGGGTTACAGTCCCTCTTTATAGATTTATGCAAATTAGATTATACACGTGATTGGATACAGCAGCAAGGTATTTGATTGGATATAAACAACAAGTAATTGATTGGATATAATACATCCGGTGCCTAGTGATATCAGTGAGGCAATTAGGATGTAATTGTGAGGTAATAGCTGTCTGTAATAATATATCATATATATAATATATAATAGACTACAAAGACTTTAGGGGTTTGAAAGAACAAAGAAGCAGTATTCCATGAACATAATTTCTTTCTAGGGAGTTGCTTTCTTTTGCTTTCCCAGAGCTCTCCTTACCTTCCAGTATCTTCTCCTAGCTTATCAGCATCCCTTGACCTTGTAATGTCTTATGGCTGAGCTGACAATTAGTTTCCCTGGAAAAATATATTTGTGAAGGGGGTAGTTGCCTAATTTACCATCTTATTGCTGAACTTGTGCTTTGTTTTCTCTGAGGAAATATATTTGGGTTAGGGTCTTTCAACCTGACCCATCAAATTCTCCTTTGGTTGTTTCTGGGCAACATATGTAATGGATTTTTATCCAGACATCCTTGGACCATTCTAGAACTGAGCTGCATTTGGAGGGCTCTGAAAGGTTCCCTCTCAAGATTTTCCAGTATCAAGGAACTTTCTGCCTCTGCTTGTGTGAGATCATTGTAGTTGCTTAGCTGTGCTTCATTATCTTGCTGCTGTTCAATTTTAACACTGTAATACTAAAAAAAAAATTAAAAATTAAAATGGAACTTCTGTTGAGTTACTTATATTGTTAGGCATACTTTACTGTTGATGGCTTTGAAGGATCCATTTAGGAACTATCAAATATAGTAATAAGCTTCTATCTTGAGATGGATATTCTTTGTACCTTTTATTTAGGTGATGGCCTAAATAAATAGTGGATCTTGTCATCTTTTTTTGTTCACAAAGTAACATGTTATATCTCAGGGCTCTACTGTGGAAGCAAACTCTATGGGATGGGATGGTACTACAGCAGTTTCTGAAATATCTAATCCCATGGAGAAGAGGCCATTGAAAATTGGTAAACCTTTGGCATCAATTATATCATTAGAAAAATGTATTTTATTTCTGTTCCTTCTTTGATACTATCAATCCTGGCACCAGTTATAAAGCACTTATCTCAAAATCATTCTCCAATATTATGTCCCACCTTATCAGCCCCAGAGGAAAGAGGCAAAGATGCAGAAAGGCTACAAAGATGGCTCCTCCTCCTTAGAAGAAAACAGTAGCAAAAAAGACCTCTCTCAAAAGAAATATTAGGTCATTTTGTGCTTTGTCATCTACTAGTTTCCATCTCCTGTGCTACAACAAGTTTGATGACAGGCAGTACCTAAACCTTGAACGCTGGTTGGAGATATTACTGTCAGCTCAGCATCTGAAGGGAAGACATTTGTTTTGTCTGAATTTCACTCTAGATATTCTTCCTTCTTGGCAAGATCAATATATTCAGGGTATCTTGATATCATTCTTAGTTTTCTCCAGCCTTGGTTCATTTATTATATTCACTCCATCCCATTGCAATGTGAACCTGTGCTGTGCTGACAGAAATAAAACACTGTGTTGTTCACTGTGTTATAGTGGCAGCCTTAATTATGTTTGATACCAATGTTGCATCTCATTTACATTTGTCAGGCTTCATAAGGACATAGTCTCAGAGTCATACCTTGATACTATGCTAGGATCATCATAGCCAGTATGAGCTGAGTTTGTGTCACAGAAGCCCAGTTTTCATTAGAACAAGACATCTTTTATTCTAATGTAGAAGTCCCCCCACCAGAGGCTATAAAGCAAATATTTAAAAAGGCAGGAGTGTTAGACCTGGAGACTAGATGATTAACCTGGTTAATGACAGTCCAGCTTTCTAGGCTGTACAGTCAGATGAGTCAGTCCTGGTTTCAATATTGTTGCTACCAGTACACGTAGGACTCATAGCACACTGTCATTTTTGTTTGCATTCTTCCTTCCATTCCAAAGTTCACAGGGATTGGTTTACACTGATTTGAGGGATGACTGTTTCCATAAGACCATCTGACCAGACCATCACAAAAATTTTCATTTTGCAATTAAGAAGTTTTGGTTTGAGTTCACAGTGCTTGCCCTCCATCTCCTTGGGTGTTTAAATGTAATGGTTATGGCAGTTTTCCTTACTATGTTGATTGTTTACTGACAGCCCCTTGATTGAAGAAGCAACCAATATCACAGCTATCTTGGCTCTTATAAATCACCTGGGCCTTTATGTGAACTATGAGAAGTCACTACTGATCACCTTGCACTACATACTTGTCCAAAGTCTCAAATTAGATCCTTGTTAGATTCAAGTGTTCTTATTGGCTGATAAAGTTGTCATGCCCATTGCTCTTACATTGTGATTAATGACAGTGCCATTACCTTGAATCCATTTCCAGAAGCTGATCTTGGGCTACATTGTGGTGATTACAGTTGTCCAATATGCCAGTTTTCAGATATGATCACTGCAGTGTTGGTTTATGAGGTACTTCTCTCTACAAGTTTACCAAGCACAGTTTCAGCTCAGCTATTTACTTTGTTTAATCAAACCCACCATTGGTAGAGCAGCATAAGTCAAGTGCTTCCATTCTCCCTGTAAGCTCCATTTGGACCCTTAACCTGGACAGGTCTTGAACCAGACCATTTAGGGAATGCATCCCTACAGTTTTCATTATTTGGACAAATCTTATATGCCTTCTGCCCATTTCCACAATAATGGAGTTGTTTTGAAAATTTGTCAGTACTGATTGATTATAATCTTAACTTTTTATTTGGTGAGTAACCAGTTATTTAGGATGGTTACCTATATGTGCCTGGGTCACAGAAGTATGTGCATAGGTCATAGTGATCATTCACTTAGCTAAATTTTCCCCACTATTTTCAGCATGAATGATAGCAATGTCACTTTCAGGTTTATTAAGAATTAAGTTTTATAACGTGTCTCAGATGTCAGTCTTCATGTGACACTACTGCCTAGATAGGGTGTACCATCCTAGTTGTTTGGTAACTGCAGCTTGCTAGATATCTATATGAGTGATGCACAGAAACTGCTGAGTTTACATGTAACTGTAGTTCTTCAAGGAATAATCTACGTATTCAAACAATCCTTCTATCTTTCCCACTCAAGCATTATATCTAAATTAGGGTTATGATGGCGGCCTTAAGGAACCGAAGTCAATAAGAGTAAGTCATTGAGATATGTGCCCCAAAGAAGGAATCTTTCAGTCTGTCAAAATGTAGCTCAGCTCTAGAATGTTATGATGATGTCTGTGCAGCTGCTAACGATAAGAAATCAGCCCTTTGAAACCAATGCAGAGGAAAGCTTTGATGGTTTGATCTTTTTAATATGAATGAAATTGTAATAATAAAGAAAAAACAGATGGTCACATAATTTTGCATATCATGCAAAAGAAGTTCCACTTGCAGGCTAACATAGTGTTTGGAGTATTGATAGATTAACAGACACCATTCTCTCCTCACCCTGCCATCTACTCTGTTTATTTGTTTCAGCCTTTACTATATCCATTAATGTTAGCAAAGGGTGGAAAGTTAATTTGTTATTTACTTGTGATCTATGTAACTATCATTTCACAATGAAAAAATGTTCTAATTCATTGGGAAAAAACTTGTAATGTAGCCAGTTTTTATTTCAGCCTTTCAAAGCTGTTTTCTTATGTTATAGAAGGAGAAGTATATGCTTGGGGTCATAATGCTTACGGTCAGCTGGGAAATGGAACAACCAGTCATAGTTACATTCCTTGCTTAATCTCCACCAACTTGGTAAACAAAAAAGTCATTGAAGTTACCTGTGGCTCACATCATTCAATGGTATTGACTGCTGATGGTGCGGTGAGAAGAATTATTGTAATTCTGTGCAAGTTGCTTTTAAATTTTGTATCAAATTTTATTTTTTTATAATAATTTTTATTAAATAAATTTTTTACAACGTTAAAAGTTAAACACAAAAATATAGAAGAAAAGTAAGAAAGAAAGATAAAGGAAAAAGTGTTGAAAACAATAGAAAGTGAAGAAAAAAGAAAGAAAAGAAAAAGAAGCGACTTCCAATCTTCTTTATAGCAGTTATAGACATACTTCAAAATTATATAATGTAGTTCCCTTCTCCCCATATACAGCCCTTTTTAATTGGTAAATCCAGAAATCACCAGTTCATTTTTATCCATTTTCAGCATAAAGTCTATAAGAGTTTTGTATCAAATTTTAAAAGCAGTAAGAATTCGGTGTTAAAACTAGCAACTGCTAATTCCTTATTATGGCATTTCTGTAGTCCTTTAATTATTAAACATTGATTTTTTGACTTTCTGATAAAAGTCATTGTTGCAAGCAATTTTTGTGCTCCCTCCCACCTTTGACTAAAATTTAGATGTTGAAAGTCTCTTGAAAACAGTCTTTCAAAGACTGATGGGCTGACCACATTTAGTAAACAAGGTATGACTCTGTTGGAGCAAATACTTCATTTTTTAGATGAAACCAGGAAGGCAGCATTTTTTAACATACTATGCTGTACTATCTTTCCAAGATACAGGGAGGTTTACTTTACTGTTACTAGTTTCTCTTTGCAGGTGTATTCATGGGGTTATAATAACTCAGGACAAATTGGATCTGGCTCAACAGCCAATCAGCCTATTCCTCGAAGAGTTACTGGCTGCTTACAAGATAAGATAGCAATTAACATTGCTTGTGGTCAGATGTGCTCAATGGCTGTGGTAGAAAATGGTGAGGTAAGATTATTCTTCTGAATTACAAGGCCAGTTGTTTTAATATATGTAGCCTTATGTGCTAAATTGTTCATGGTGCCTGCCTCTTCAATTGTTAGAGTAGTCAGTGGAACCAATTAAGAAGAATTATATGTCATGCCTATATGCTCTCTTCTAAGATAGTAGAATTTTGATATTAGAATTTCTAAAAAAATTCATAAAAATAGTAATGCTATTTTATATGAGGAGTAAATGGGCACCCCAATACTATTAAGAAGTGTCACCATCAGTAAATAACTAGGGTTTTTCCCCCTCTTGTTGCTGGTACTCGTGAATTAAACCAAGAGAAACTTGTTTAGTGTTGCTGTCAAGGGAAGAATCCCAGTGTAGGAGAAGAATGGCTGTATCTTCTTGCATTTCCTTCTGGCTGCTTTTGGCTGTATTCTCTCCCTTGACCTTTTGTTACAGTTCAGACCATGCACTGTACTGAAGCATCCAGCAGCCCCTTCTGCCTATCAAAGGAAGAGCCTTTTTGCTGCTACTCCTCCTTTTTTTCTACCTCTCAATAACTACCTGAGTGTTTGCCTCCCTCCTGTCACACTGAGTGCCTCAGAATAGTTCTCCCTTTTTATGTGAATATATTTCCTTCTGTTTCTGTTTTTGTTGTTTTGGACTTGGCTCTTTCTCTCTTTAGCTATTCCATTTCTTTCACTATTCCCCTCTTCTTTGCTACACTTGCAATCTGATGTGCTGATAGAAGTGTTTTAGATACAGGTAGTCTTCACTTAGCATCCATTCATTCAGCAACCGTTCAAAGTTACAACAGTGCTGAACGAAGGGACTTAAGGCCAGTTCTTGAAGTTCCAGCCATTGCAGCACCCCCTGGTCACGTGAACAAAATTTGTGTGCTTGGCAACCAGCTCACACTTATGACCGGTTACAGCATCCCACAGTCACGTGATCACCATTTGCTACCTTCCCTGCCAGCTTCCAACAAGCAAAGTCAGTGGGGAAGCCAGCAGGGAGAGTCGCAAGTTGCTGGGGTAAGTCTCTCTCCTCTCCCCCGCCAGCCTTTCTGCACTTGCATACATGCACTGTGTCCTCCTCCCCTTCGCTTACACACACACCCTTTATTTTTCTCCTTGTTGAGTAATGCAGGCTAATGGCCTTTAGGCTGTGACATCTGCCTGAACCTTCATGAAACTATTTGGACTTCAGCTAGGAAGTTTCAGCCTTACTGCTGGGGTTTCCAAGAATTTGTATGTAGAGAATGGACCTTGTGTTGCCGAATCTGTATGAAGTAGTTGAATTGGAGAGATGGTTTTGGTTGAGATAGTATTGGTATTTTTTATCTTGATATAATTCAATAGGAATAATAAGGGTTAAGTTCTGAATAATTAACTAAAAGTTGTGGACTGGAAATTAAATACATATATTACAGATTTTATTTACCATCTTGAGAACCTCAAAATCTTCAGTCAAGTTTGTGGCTTAAATACTAAAGGTTGTTGCATTGCACTTGTGTAAACATGGGACAAGCAGTTTTGACTACCTTTGGCTCATCCTTCAGCTGTGTTTCTTGAAAAGCTAAAGCTTGCTTACATGTCTATCTGACTTCCCATCTCAACTGTTGAATGTATGGCAGGTTGCCTTTGTTTGATTGCAACAAGTGCAAAATGCAGCAGATTGTTTATTAAATGTGCTTATACAGATGTTAGAGATGTTGAATTCATTTCAAGCTAGATTCCACTAATTCATCATTCAGTTTAATACTTTCTTAAACGTAAACATGGTCTAGCAGTCCTGTGGCAACTTCATTCTTCTGTCTCAAGCCTCTCACTGAGATTTTCATGAAATGCTATCCTCTGAGCGTTATGAAAACCAAAGTAGCTTTGTAGAATTGGGCTACCTCCTATAAGGATGGAATGTTGTTTTTAGGGAAGCTACCGGAGATAATTTGTTATCTGCACCTTTTAACAGCTAATTGACTTATCCCTTCATCTACTTTTTAATGCTATGATTGTCTTTGTGTTCTTTATTGTGTGTTTTTTTAAAAAAAAGATACAGTTGGGAAATGGCACTTTTCTCTAAGATTCTCATGGCCCATCACTTTTGTTTGAGGGAGACAATGGTAAAACAACAGATAATGGGAAGGGAGAACAGAAAGAACCATCACATAGGTAAAATTTCTAAAGCATTCCTAAAGCATCCCCAGACTATTATTCCAGTCCTAAAACATCAACCTAGCATTTTCACTGACACAGTGCTGGAACTGAAAGGGAGTATTTAAAGATGAGACTACTCAAGCAGTTTGCCACCCTGGAATCGTTCAAGATTTCCCTCCCCAGGTTAATGGAGCAGGTTCAGAAAGGGCAGATACTTTAATGTTAGCCTGAGCTCAGGTGTCTTAATATCTCCGTAGAGCACAATATTATTAACTAGAACTGTTTTACATAAATGAAGAGCAAAATTTGTGGGAAAAAATCATACATACTAACTTACACATGGACTTTAGTGAATTCTGCACACCTAATTCTTTTTTCCTTTATAAGTCTTATTCCCACATACTGACTGGAATTGTCTTCCTTTTAAGGTTTATGTTTGGGGTTATAATGGTAATGGTCAGCTTGGATTGGGCAATGGTGGCAATCAGCCGACACCATGCAGAATAGCAGCTTTACAAGGCATCCATGTGCAAAGGGTATGTTTCCTGCATGTTCAGATCCAAACCATTACTTGCTGAGATTTCTGATACATCCAAAATGCTAGTTACAAACGAATAGCAAATTGTGAATAATTTAAACACTAGTTTTCATCTGTATTTTTTTATATTTTGCATCTTTATTTTATATTTTAGCTGATGCTAGTCATTTTAAGTATTGAGATGAATAGAATAAATTTTAAAAAATGCAATTCTCTCAGGTTCCTTAAGGCCAGCAGAAAACAACAGCTGCTATGCACAAAGTGATACTATCTGTAACTTAAGAAAAGTCCAATGTTTGCAGAAACAAGAATCTTAAAGAGTTGGGAGATAGGACTGAGCATCTTGAGTGAGCACAGAATGTTCACTGTTGTTTCTTACATGTGTGTGTGTACCTTTGAGGCAGTTTTTTTTACTCTTGGTGACTGCCTGCACAAGTCTCTGCAGTTTTCTTGGCAAGTTTTTGTAAGTGGTTTGCCATTGCCTGCTTCCTAGGACTGAGAGAGAGTGACTGGCCCAAGGCCGCCCAGCTGGCTTTGTGCCTAAGGCAGGACTGGAACTCAGTCTCCCAGTTTCTAGCCTGATTCCTTAACCACTACACCAAACTGGCTCTCTTTCTTAAATATACATGCATAATTTTATTTTGCAGACTAATAACAATACAATACAAATAACATTAAAGGATCAACACAACAGCAAAATGAATAAGCATTGCAACAAGGGGTTGGGGGAGGAAGAATGGTTTAGAATTTATGTAGAAATAGAACAAAACTCCAAAAACAATCATATTGTTCCAGTTTTCTTCTTTGCCATGCTGTAAAAAAAAAAAATAACATGTTGACAAACAACAATACATTGCTGCAAATGGACATGTGGAAATCTTCATAGATTCCAGATAGTTCAAGAAAAACATATTCATCCTTAACATATAGCTATTGATCCAGAGTCATATTAAAAATCTTGTTGCTGTCAGCCGAAATACAACAATAATAGAGCATCATCTCTGGGCTAAAATTCCAACTCCTGAGTTGTATCTCCAACAGGAAGATTGCAATCAACTCCTGTTAAACATTTTGCGAGGTGTCCAGTATATATGAAACATTTTTGTTGCATCAACCTAATTTCAAGATGGGAAATTAATTTAATGTTGTTCAATACAACTTTCCATTCATTTACCAAAACAGACCATTAGAGTCATAGAATCATAGGGTTGGAAGGGTTCTTGGAGATCTTCTAGTCCAACTCCCTGCCAAGGCAGGAATCCTCATACCATCTTGGACAAATGGTTGTCCAGTTGTTTCTTGAAAACCTCAGGAATGTAGCACCCACAACTCTGGGAGGCAAGCACCCACTTAATAGTTCTCACTGTCAGGAAATTCCTCCTTATTTCCAGGTTGGTTCTCCCTCTGACAAGCTTCCGTCCATTGCTTCTTGTCCTACCCTCAGGTGCTATGGAGAATAAATCAGTGCCCTCTTCCCTGTGGCAGCCCTTCAAGTACTGGAAGACTGCTATCATGTCTCCCCTTAGTCTTCTCTTGGTTAAGCTAAACATACCTAGTTCCTTCAGCCGTTCTTCATAGGATTTAGCCTCAAGACCTCTTATCATCTTTGTTGCTCTTCTCTGCACTCTTTCTAGGGCCTCAGCATCTTTTTTGTATTGTGACTAGAACTGGACACAGTATTCCAAATGTGGCCTCACCGGTGCGATGTAGAGTGGTACTATCACTTCCCTTGATCTTGATACTATCCCTCTGTTGTTGCAGCCCAGGGCTGCGTGTCTTTTTTGGCAGCTGCAGCACAGTGCTGACTCATACTTAAACGATGGTCCACCAGGACACCTATATCCCTCTCATAGGCACTACTGTTGAGCCAGGCACTGCCTATCCTGTACCTGTGCATCTGTTTTTTCTTGCCTAAGTGCAGAACCTTATTTTTCTCTCCACTGAACTGCATTTTGTTGGATACTGGATTGTTGGACACTGGACTGTTCCAGTGATCACACAGGTCCCTACAGGTAGTCCTTGAGTTACAACCATTTGTTCAGTGACCATTCAAAGTTACAGCAGTGCTGAACGAATGGTATTAATGCCTGGTCCCTGAAGTTACGGCCATTGCAGCATCCCCACGGTCACGTGATCAAAATGTGGGTGCTTGGCAGCCCACCCACACTTACAACCGCAGGGGCACTTCAGCTCCCCCCACCCGGCTATCTCCCTCTCCATCTCTGCCCTTTTGGCTGCCTGGGGGAGGAGGCAATCCCTTACCTTACTGAGGCTCAGGGCTGGAAGGGACCAAGCCAGGAGTGGCTTGGATCAGGGTATGTTCTCACCTAACAAAAACCTGAGAGTTTTTTTATACAAATGTGTAATTAAGAACTTAAGACAAAGTTTTAACAACTAAATAGAAGTGAATGTAATAGCAAAACATTGGAAAGAAGAAGAAGTTCCTCTTGCTCTTTTTACACTGTCCAAGATGCTTATATCAGTCCCACAAATTTCTTTCAAAACTTTGGGAGCAGCACAGGGGTCTTAGTAAACACAGCTGTATTGCCAATCCCAGGTATAGCATTTGTACTCCTCCCCCCAAAATGAACTGA